AACCCTCATGGCTAGTGAACATATTTTTTCAGATGTTTGTTTAAGCATCTGTCCCTAAAGAAGTCCTTTCTTTTGCCCTGCCGTATATTGGCCCTTCTAATGTAACTGCTCTCGTAGGGGGAGATTCTGTTACACAATGGGACGGTCACTCTGAGTATTCTCCCTCAGGATTACCATCGACCTTCCGTGGAAGACATTCTTGAGAACCCTTTGATAGTGGACTTGGTTGCAGAAGAGCAAAGAAAAAATCTTGAGAGGAGAGGGCGACGATTAGGAGAGCCTGAAAAGTTGCAGGATTCCAGCCCGGTATTGAGTGAATTGAAGCTAAAGGAAATGCAGTTACAGGAGCGAGAGCGAGCCCTCAAAGCCCGTGAGGAAAGGCTGGAGCGTAAGTCTGTGTCGGGTTGTTCTGATGTGCACGAATCTTTTCCAACAGCATAGTGTATATCTACATCTGAGTTCTGTACTTGAAAATCAAAACATCTACTCTAGACTCCATAGTAAGCCTGCTAACACTGTGGTAGGGCTTGAACTCAGGCCCTGGGCGCTGTCCCTGAGCTCTTTTGCTCAGGCTAGCACTCTACCACTTTAAGCTACAGCGCCACTTCCAGTTTTTGCACAGTTAATTGGAGTCTCATGGGGACTTTTCTGCCTGGGCTGGTTTTGAAGCTCTATCCTCAGATCTCAGCCTCCTGAGTAGCTAGGATGACAGGTGTGAGCCACCAGTGCCCTGCTGTCACGTTCTGCTGGACTTCTTTCTCTAGAATCAGTTGCTAGTCCTTATACGTTGTTGGACATCCATTGTGCTGGCTCTCAGACAAGAGGCATTGTGCTTTATTGTCTTCTTTCTTTCTTAATTTTAATTTTTTTTGCCAGTGCTCAGGCTTGAACCCTGGGCATGGGTACTGTCCCCGAGGTCCTTCTCCTCAAGGCTAGCACTACCACTTGAGCCACATTGCCACTTCCCTCTTTCAGTCTTTTTTTTTTTGCCAGTCCTGGGCTTGAACTTGGGCCTGGGCACTGTCCCTGAGCTGCTTGTGCTCAAGGCTAGCACTCTACCACTTGAGCCACGGCACCACTTCTGGCTTTTTCTGTTTATGTGGTACTGAGGAATAGAACCCAGGGCTTCATGCAGGCTAGGCAAGCACTCTACCACTGAGCCACCTTCCCAGGCCTGACCCCCCCTCTTATTTTTAGTATCATTAATCTAAAGCTTTTCCACTGTAAAGGAAGGTTTTTAAATGTTGCCCTCCAGCATAAAAACCATGTCTTCTACCTTCTGATGAGGGAGGCTCCAGGTTTAACACATACACAGGATGTAGGACTGCACGTGTGCATGTAATTCCATGGAGAAAATAGGTGCAAGATGGTCTCTGTTAATAGATAATACAGGTATTAACATGAGCTTGATGAGTAGTAACTGACTTGAAAGTAATTTAGTTTTTTAGTTTTGGCCGGTACTTGGGCCTAAACTCAGAACCTCATACTCTTACTCGATTTTTTTCCATTCAAGACTGCCTTCAGGGGGCTGGGAAGGTGGCTCAGTGGTAGAGCGCTTGCCTTGCATGCATGAGGCCCTGGGTTCGATTCCTCAGCACCACATAAGCAAAAAGAAAGA